GAGAGAGAGAGAGAGAGAGAGAGAGAGAGAGAGAGAGAGAGAGAGACTCAAGTACTCTGCTAGATCAGCTAGAAGTTTCAATAATCCCTTGTTAAAAGACTTTTTTTTTTCAAAAGCTACTAGGGAAAACATCTCTAAATAGATTTTTCTAATGAAATATTCCTGTAAATGTTTAAATGTTTGTAAACCTAAGGATGATGGCATAATGAAAGTTTATGCTTTAGGGAAGAAAATGTCTACTTAGACTAGAAAAAGTACCAGTTATAAATCACAATAATTCAAAAAAAATTTTCAATTATAATTTCCATTTATCTGGTAAGTGTTTCCATAAAAGTTATAAATTGCTTTAAAAGAGAACATAGACTAATCAATTTGTTTTAGTTTCTTCAGTTTTCTAATGAAGGAGTTGGACTAAATGCTATTTTTCTCAGCTCTAATATTCTATGATTCAAGTTAATATAAGGTAGTAAAATGGTCCCATTGGTTTATCCAAATGATAATAGAAAAGGCAGCTTAAACTTACAAAGCCTGGCAATGTAATTTTTTGTTTGTTGATAACAAAGAAAAGTACTAAGTGATGAAAGACACTATCCAAAGTTCCAACCTACTCAGGTTCTAGACAGTACCCCTGTTTCCAAATCAGCCTGGCCATCAAATATATTCCATTGCTTTGCTGTATTACAGACTCTAAGAATCCCAGGCCCCACCACTGGAAATCTTCCTTCATTGTTTTTGGGATGAGATCAGGACTTCCCATTTTCAAAAGAGATCTCAACATTCTGGTGTGAACATGAAGACAGGGGCTACAGGTCTCCCCCAGACTGCCTGGGATACAGAGGTGTAGAGGAGCAGACATGACCACAGCAATATTTTAGTTCATGATTTCCTGCCCCAAGGAACCACTTTTCTTGTGTCTTCAATCCTCTAGGGGAAAAGTGGAAAGCAATGAACACCGGGCATCTTGGCTACTCTGCTGTGGTAGGAAAAGTCACTGAAGGGAGCAAGAATGAGAGAGTAGATCTATAACCTTCACTGTTTGTGCCAAATTCACATTCTAGACACTTAATTCCACTTAAGCCCTGGAAGTCCTCTTACTGTAAACCACGAATCTAGCCATCACCATCCTACAGTCTCAAGCCTTTTAAGGCAATCTGTGATTTACAAATTATTTACTTTACTTCAGGGAATGGTATAACAAAGTGGATTCCCCTTAGTGGCTAGAGTATCATAAGGAGAAAACCCACGGAATTTGTTTGGCATGAGAATTTCTTTTTGGGTGAAGGAGAATTAATATTTCGCCACGTAACATAATTGCTTTAAATGGCAACAATGTACAACAAAGTTGCTTTTAAGATCATCCATGTAGGAGTCTAAGGATCTCAACTTTTCTACTTCTCCAATGCCACTTATTAGCATAGATTTCATGAATCTGGTGTGAGCAAATTGTCGCCAAGATATATATCATGGTTTCTTATGTGACTATCAATGCCCAAATTTAGTTTAAGGCCTTTTTACACAGTATAAGAAATACAGTATAATTTAGCTATCAATGAAATATTGTTCCTGATCATCCTCTTTATAAAAAAAGTGAATTCATTTTTATCTACTAATTTTTGGGAAGCAATTAGAAAAAGGAAAAATCAAAACAAGTGACTTACCTCTACAGAGACAGAACTCCAGACAAAGCAGCTAAACTAAGAACTTTCCACAATTTTAACATAAAGTAAAATTCAGCACAATTTAATTCCTTTTTGTATCTCATTTAAGGAATGCTTGCTGCTAAGATCAACAAAATAAATTCATTACTTTGTCTTGTAATTATTAAGGCAGTCTTATGATATTGGCTCTGAGAATCAAGTATGCAGTTAAAGCCATGTGAGACTACCAGATGATATATAAAAGCACAAATGAGCATCTTATGCTTGCTTTAGAAGACTGACCTGTTAAACCTGTGATGCTTTTATTAAAACAAGAAATCAATAGTATCAGTTATCTTCATATGGGTTAAAATGATATTTAAGATTGATTTCTGGAAAACCACTAATATTTGATCTGTGTATAAATCTTACTTTTCATTGTAGTTGGTGGCCAAGGAAGTGGTTAAATAATATATGAACATAAATGCCTTAGTTAGATACCTATTAAAAGGTATGCAAAATATAAATAGGATTGTATATTTTCAAAACTTTAAAATAAACACAAAGAATATATAGGTCTACATGTTATAATTTAAAGTCAACACTAGCACATAATTTTTTACCTAAATACATTCCTATGACAATACATGCACCTACAAACACATGGCCATGCACATAACCTTGTTTTCTGCATTTGCAAGAAAGTCAGAATATACAATTATTGTACATTGTGTCAACTTAAATCATTTTGGAAAGTCAATGAGGATGGAAATAAAAAAAATCTAATCTAAGAAATTAAAGTACAAGGAGATAATTATCCCATTGATTAAAAACACTGAAGACTGATGGAAAGTTAAGGTTTAGTTTGTTTGTCCCAGTGATCTTGAAAGATGCAGAAGAGAACAGGATTGTTTGTAAACATTCTGAATATTCCATTTGGCAAAAGGGATGAGAACTTTTGTAATCCAGCAAGCCAGGCTAGAGATCTAGACCATCTGGGCTTCGGTTTGCAGAGAGACTTTATAGCTGTGGGCAGTCCTCCGTAAGGCTGGGGGTGCGGATGGCGATCTGGATGCCCATCTGGATGGGAGCCGGCGATTGGCTGGTCTAGCAGGCCGGGAAAATCCTTTTCCATTCGAGGCTCTCACTGCTATGGATTCCTACAACACAAATAGAGGCCACGGTCTCCTTACACATGCCACCTTTATCCAAGAAATACATCAAAAGGATCATCATCACCTACACTATCATCATCATAACAATATAAGTGTTTATGAGGTTTTGTACTCATGGTCCCAACTGTCCTTCTTTCAATATTTTTTGATATATATATATATATATATATATATACATATATACATATACATATACATATATAAACATATGTATGGTTTTTGCCTGTATGCATGTACATATGTGCACTATGTGTGTGCCTGGTACCCATAAAGGTCAGAAGAGGTCATCAGATTCCCTAAAACTGGAGTTATAGATGGATATAAGATGCCATGTGGGAACTAGGGACTGAACTCAGGGCCTCTGGAAGAGCAGAAAGTGCTCTTAAGTGCAATCCATCTCTCCAGTTCCTGTAACCCTGCAAATGACCTTTTTAACAAAGCTAATACTCTTACATCTGAAGCAGGCAGTGAGGACAGACTTGGGTGTTACTATTTCTCTCACAGCCAAGCAATAGCCTCGTTTTTTATTGTCCCTTTGGATATTTAAATTTAATTCACAGGGGTTAAAAAAATGAAACAAAGCTATACAATATGTTCCTAAGGATCCACAGTAGAGTAATGTCTCCCAAATCCCTAATTGACGAAAAGAGGAAACATTCAGCATCTACTCTTAGTTCATGAGAAATTTGTTGGTTAATATACATGCTTGTGTGTCTCTGGTCATAGGACCTACAGATTTATAGTTTCAAATAAAATGAAGGGAAGTAAAAGGCCAGGGAATTATTTGGAATTCTGGCTAATGATAGTAAGTCATATTATTTAAATTACATATACAAAAGGGTATTTTGTATAAGTCTTCATAGTACATACCAATTTGCTTGACCTCTCCCTTTACAATTAGTGAAGACTGTACTTTTTTAAATGGACAAAAAAAGAAAAAAAGTTTATTTAAATACACGTTTTTTGTTAATTTTCATGCAAAAAATATCTACGAGTAGATGTGTTTTGTAGACTGTCTTTTAGTGTCACAAAGAAAAGAGTTTGGTTTTGATGTTTTAAATGTCAAAAAATGTAAACATTTAAAATGAAACACTGTTTTAAATGATTGTTTTACTTTCATACACATTCATGTGACTAACCCTATGAGGACACAAGTCATACAATGAGAAAGTCTGAATCAATAATAACCGAGAAAATGGAAGTTATTAAAAATGCTGTATATGCTGAAATAATAAACCTTTAGGGTAAAACTCTGCAGGTCAACAGATATGTATTCTGATTTTTTTAAAGAAAGGAAACAAATAACTTTCCCCAGGTTCTTGAAAGCATCTTATATTGATTTTACTTATTTATTATTTACTTATTTTTGAGGCAGGGTCTCACTACATAGTCCCAAGATGGTCTGGAACTCACTTTGAAAATCACTCCAGGCTCGAACTCATAGAGCCTCCTAAGTGTTGAAATTAAAGGCAAGAGTAGTCACCACTTGTGTCCTTAATCTTACTTATTTTTCAATAATGTACTTGTTTGAGTTTTTAAAACTATACCCTCAATTCATATTAAGTTATTGCCTCACAGAGGTCCAAGAAGCTAAGAAAATGCCAAAATATGTCTACATCCTACTTAGGTGTTCTAACAAGTGAACTGATTTCAGAGCTATTGCTAAAGATGGATATAGTCCACGATTTCTCAACTGGGTTATCTTATTGGAATCTACTCCTTGCCCCACTTGTTGATGCGCACACAAAGCAAATGTTCCATTTGACGCACTTCTAAATGTCGACTCCCTATAACACCACCACTTACATCAGAACCACATTTGGGCCAGTTATCCCTGAAGCATTTTGAATTTTGCTGTGCAGACCCCGTCTCTGTCTCATAGGTTTTCAGCAGCTTTTCCACAACACCGTAATTTGATCTGGGATCAGCTGACCTTGGCCGACTAGAAAAATTGCTCGGTCTCCAATCATGCTCATGGAACATGAGCTGATAGCTGCTGGCGCTCACACATGCCTGCATTTGCTTGACCATGCCTGTTGGAGAGACTTTTGCAGAATTACTGAACACATTTTCCGTGGGGACAGACATGTGGTCACTGGCTTTAAAGCCACTAGTCCCACTACCACTTTCTGACACATCACCGCTATGAGCAGCAGAAATATCACAGAGATTGAGATTATCAGGTGATTCTGAATCGCTTTGGCCTTGCTCTATTGCTGGACGATGTCTGTCTGTTCTAAACACAGTTCTGTTAAATTCATCAATCTTTGCTGCCAGCTTTTCATTCCTCCGAGTCTGTTCAAAATTGCAGTTGTAACTTCTAAGTGGGTCTGTCTGTGTCACTGAGGAAAGAAAGTCATTTTTCACATGAAGATCAAGATGAGATTTAGTAGGGTTATCTGGAATCACCGTTTCAAATTTCGCATTATTAGGGGTAAAAGCAGTTTTTTGAGACTGCACAGAAGGGTGCTCCGTTGTTCCTATTACAGTGTCACATGACCACATATTAAGTCCAATGTCTTTATTACCCGGAGGCTTGCTATCTGTTTTGACTTCTGGTGACAAAGAGGAAAGCATGGAACTGTCTTTTAAACTTCTGTCTTGTGGAAACAATGGAGACTGCCTCAAAAGGAAGTGAAGATTGCTATTCCTTCTGTCTTGACTCTCATGGACCACCCACCTGTGGTATAAAGTTTCCTTCAGTCTTTCTTGGGCTTGTTCAGAATATGAGCTCGGGAAATTTCGAGAGGTACTTCTCGGAGGAGGAATTGGTGGAGTTTCACTTCTTTGTGAATCAATTTTACCAATTCCACCATTTTTCATGGAATTGTTTTGGAGTCCACTAGCACAGCTCAGACTCTTTTTCTGTTTTTCTTTCTCCACATTGGTTGGAAGAATACCCTGGCCATTACTGATCATGTGCTTCCTCTGAGGTACACTGATTGTATTTGGCATTTCCTGAAGAACAGAATCTGACTTCATCCTAAATAATTAAAAATCAAGGTATATTAATGACAATTTTTTAATGAACTTTTAAAAGAAGTCACATTTTAAAAAGTACATTTCTACTCTAAGAAAAGAATTGCTAAAACATGTGTGTGTGTGTAGTTATATGTGTGTGTACATAGGTATAAATAGTGTGACATATAAGTAATATGATTATCCATATGTGATATACATACATATATATCCTAAATCCACTTATTTATTACAAGTCCTCTTTGTTGCTTTATTGTAGGATAAAGTCTTCAGTGTTACATTTGTGGATCTAACTCAACTTTTAGTCAGAATTATCCCTCGTTTTCCCTAACATGAAACCTCATGCTAGATACAAACTAGACAATGTAGTCTCTGGAGTTTTTGCTCTTGACATTTCTGTTCCTACAGTTTTTCTTCTGCCATAAGGGAAGCTCGATGGGCAAATGGAGGGCAGTGCACAGTGTTTTACAAACCCTGTTGCAAGTCAGCATGAAACTTCTCAGTTTCCTGAAAGCTGAATAGTAATAAGGAATCTCATTGTTGTAGCATCTAAGAGAATCTCAGATCCCTCAATGAGCTAAATATTGATATAGAATGATCTGTTCTTACTATGCACAGAACTCCAAGTTGTTATTTTTTAAACTTAGCTACAACTTAGTCTTAACATTACATTGTGATTCTGACCTAAAACAAGAACTGGTGCCATATAAATGTATAATGTGTTACTCTGGAAAGTATGCATTCCTTTATTATATACATAACTGTTAGGAAAAAGGACCCAGGCATAAAATATTTAAATAGAACATCTTATATTGTTCAAACACCACCTTGTTATATTTGTCATAGTTTAAAAACTGGTTTAGCCGGGCGGTGGTGGCGCACGCCTTTAATCCCAGCACTCGGGATGCAGAGGCAGGCGGAGCTCTGTGAGTTCGAGGCCAGCCTGGGCTACCAAGTGAGTTCCAGGAAAGGCGCAAAGCTACACAGAGGAACCCTGTCTCGAAAAACCAAAAAA